TGCAATGATGATCATGCTTGAAATGATGATGTGGACAATGAACTCTGAGGACTATTGTTGCAAAAGTACACGGAAAGCAATTCACACTTTTATTTTCTACAGTAATTAGAGCCCGTAACTGTAATAAACTATGTCAAGGCACTTAGCTGGGTGCATAATAAAATCATTTTATAACATGGAGCACAGACTTGGTAGCTTTACGGTTGCGTCGGTGTGAAATCCTGTGACGCTAACCGTTGGCTTAAACGTCATTCCCTGAGTGCACAGGTAATATTATCTGTCTGCAAATCACATGACACGACGTGTTCGCTTAAACACGATTGCTGAAACCCACCGGTGACGTGATCTTGCCTTCGAGATTCAAGTGTAGAATGATGAGCCTTCCACATTCAAGTGTGAGCGTGTGTTTCTTATCTGACAGTGGTAATACATTACCACGGGATCCGCTAGCCAATCATACGCACTCGCATGCACAACTTTGCTATTCAATGGCCTTAACTGTGTATAACTGACTGAATATTCATTTTCAGCCTTAGAAGAGCGCTTGAGATGGGCATCAGTGAAAGACCGATACAGCCATACCTGTTCAACTCATCCAGATGCTACGCTGAAGAGCCCCAGGAAGCCGCTGCCTATTGTCTCGAAGACATGCAGGGGGCGTTTTTCGCCCTGGCACTAGGCTTAGCCCTTTCATTGGGAGTTTTCTTGGCTGAGCTGATAGTGAACAACTCCTCTACCTTCAAGCTGAAACAAGGAATCATCCGACGACCTAGGCGTGCGAAAATGTGAAACTAATAGGCACACGGCTATTCTCGCCCCACGTGCTGGCAACCTGTTTACTTTCGCACTTTCATTCTTGAGACAGCGGAACGCAAACTGGTTCCACCCACCTTTTTTTTTTCAATATAGATACACAATTTAGCATTCATGCGAGTCAAACACAGAAGCAGCATTAGGAATATGTCTTCAATGAAATAGGTTTAGAAACGCTTCGTTTAAAAGCATTGTCGTTCCTTTGACAGTTTAATAAACACAGGCGTAGGTAAATGCACGACATACTGATGGTTGGCTTAGTGACTCTTCTTGAATCCTGATGACTCACGTTAATAGGTGATAAGAAGGTCTCGGTTTTCAGTTCCCAGGTCCATGCTGTGAAACACTAAATAGGGTTTTATAGTATAGTAATTAGATCTTATACGAACACGAGGCCCATGGTGATAGTTTTAAGCTGAAATAAAAGTACAAAATATTGCAGCTCAGCAGCTTGTAGTTTCATGAAGCAGCTGGCAGTTATTAGCGCTAAATGCAGTGCTCATTAACGTGCAAAGTCGACGTAACATTTGTTATTTTTAACGTCTAAAAATAACGTATAGGGAGATACTTCTTAAACTCCTTTTCCTACTCATATTGTTCGAACCATATTGAACCATACTTCTGGTTTAGATGGCTTTGGCTCTAACTTCTTCCTGTGTTTAGAAGTGCTCGCTTTTCATTCATAACAATCAAAATTAAGGATCAACGTTTTTACCGTGTGTGCATTTTCAGTGTTTATTTCTTGTTCGCTCGCCACCATGAAAACTTTTTGAACAACTCTTGCGAGAGTGGGTAAGCGCTGAACACCTACGCACCCCAGAGTGAGTAGGTGTTGAATAAGTGCTCAGATTCCAGAGAGATCGCTCACTTCTGGTGTTTACTCATAAAAGTAGAAAACTTATTCCTATTCAAAATAATATTGCCCTCAAGGCCGTTTCCCTCATTCGCAATTGTACACTGTTCCTTTATCGTGCATCATAGGCTAGTAAGGCAGTCCCACCCATATATTCATACTTACATAAGCCTTTTCGCATAAGCCTTACATAAGCCTTCAAGCCTTTTCGCATAAGCCTTACATAAGCCTTCATGCTTTTTGCTTTTCTGATGAGTCTGTCGGGACTCGCATCCAAGTATAATTGTTGTCCTGAAGCGTTTTTTTTTTCTTACTGCGAGCAGCAGTAGGGGCGCTGAATTCATTGTGATGCCTTACATGTTGACATAACGTTGCCGCTTAGAAACACTGAGTTTTACAGCACCCGCCATAGTGGTGGAGTGATCACGGCACTCGACTGCAGACCCGCAAGTCACGGAATCAAATACCCCCCCACGATGGCCGCATTGTCAATGGAGGTGAAAATGCCTGTGGCCCGTGTATATACGTCGAGGTGCCCCTTGAAAAAAAAAAAAACCCAGGAGGTCCAAATGTCCGGAGTCTTTCCCTATTTGCGTCTGTCATAAATAATGCAATCGTGATTCCGGGATGGTAAACCACACCAATAATAATAATAATAATAATAATAATAATAATAATAATAATAATAATAATAATAATAAGAATAATAATAATAATAATAATAATAATAATAATAATAATAATAATAATAATAATAATAATAATAGGGCAGCAACACGTACATGCGTAAAAACTGGTTGCACGCGTTAAATCAATTTTGAAAGTATACAATACAGAACACTAAAACTCCCAATGAACCAAGATGAAACAGTGTGGCTCCGGGGAAGGGGTACTCCTTTGAAGTTTTTCTTGTGTTTTCTTGTTATAACTGGTATACTTTTATTGGTATTTCACCATATAGTATAATGCCTGTGTAATACCCTCGTACAGAAGGAGATTACGTTACGCTAAAATAGATAAACAAATGAATGAATAAATAAATGAGATATAAGACAGACTTATGCTTTCTAATGCACCCTATAATCGTATAAAATGATAGCGTGTTTATTGTGACGTGCCACCAAGCGTCATGTGCCCACAGTTTCACTATGACGGCTTCTAGCAGTCAGTATATGTTTATAATGTATGTGCCCAGCAGGGCAAGCAGTTTTTGGTTTAACGTTGAAACGCGGAAACGTGTCGTTGTTCATTCAACGTGCTCATCATCAAATCACAAGCTTGTCATTAGGTATGAATGAAAATCAAGAGTTCACAGGTATAGCACTTATTATTATGGGTCTGTGTACTGTTAAATATGTTTTTAGAACACTTCGCACCTAATTGTTTAACCAAGTATTTATCATAAAAGAGAGCAGAGACCGTACTGTTATGACTTACACCATGTACCAAGGTATATGGACAGAAACACGAGCAGTACAACGAAGCTGTATTGCGGAACGCGCTCCATCATAATGAAGGTACAAGCCAAAACTGAATTCTGCGTAAAAATTTCTCTTATGAATGCTGATACGATTTTTTAGCACGAAAGTATGTTATGCGGAGATCGACCGAAATTTCCTTGACGTACTTACGTCCCGAATATGAATGTGAACTTCATAAACAGAATACAAAGTAAACAAGAAGAAGAAGAAGTTGCACGAATTCCGGACACCTGAAAGTTGAAACCACGACCTCTCAGCCAGTGACCATTAATTACGGGTTCCTAACCAACTGCACCATCGACACATGTGAAAAAACGTTCTTCAAACGCGCTTTATATATCTCAGGCTTCTTTTTGTACCTGCAAGCAGAAGAGTAGTACTCCTTTAGGACACTAACTAGTACTAACAAAAAAAAACACTTCGTTATACTTAGTACACTCAGCACTATGGTACGGTGCCTCTATGTCACCGTTCGAGCGGTCTTTGGCTTAAGGATGCCTAACACCACCTATGTGGTGTTTGCCCTGCTCAGCATAGCGGAGCTAGGGCTCCGAATTGAGCTCCGATGGTGTTTTTGACGCTGACCTTGGAGGCCACAGTACACTGAGCTAGTATATCCTAGTTCACTGTAGCTACAAGGGATCAGACATGCTGACAAGGCCGCTACGCGCTTTGTTTTGTGTGTTTTGTTAGTGTGTCAGCTACTTGCTTTGTCTGTTGCGTTGCGCTAAAGTGGACAACTTCCATATGCACCAAAAGTGTTTTCTGGCCATCTAGCGATACGAGTGCAAAGGCACCAACTTGGAGAACTGCTCTAAGAGCTGCCGAAACACATCTGCGTTGATGGGTGTGTGTTACTCAAGTGAGTTTGGTGCAGCGAATTACACGCCAGGTGGGAGAAGGGGTCCTTCGCGGGTGCGCGGCTGAGGCTGAAAACTCTGGCTCTCTCGTTGCCAAATTTGAGTGCATCACTACCCAACTGGCTGTCGCTGGCACTCCGAAGCAGGACCCTAAATGCTCGAACCTCCACCGAAGTGATCCGCCGTCAGGACGCTTTTCGACAGAACGACGCCGCATGCCAAGCACATCCATCGGATGCATGGTCGTCGACACGTAAATCAAGCATCCTTCCTACAACCAACAGTGCGTTAACGAAAGGATTCAGTGAAAACCTGTTTGGTTTCGCTTGTACCGTTTGATTACGCACGTGGTTCATTTGTGGTACGCGGGATGCTCCTGTGAGTGTAATGCAGTGTTTTTGATAGTTGTGCTGAGAAGCATTATCAGGTGTCAACGTCTAAGGGTACTGCAGCGAATACACACCGAAACACACACTTTATATATATATATATATATATATGTATATATCATAGGTATCTACCATATTTTTATTTGTATCCCTTAAGCTCATAACATAATCTTTTGTCTATCTTCTATTTTCCTTAAAAACTTTTGTTTTTCTCAGACTTTTTGTGATAGCGGTTACGGACATAGGCGGTTGCGGTGGCGGACAACTTCCTCTGCCACTGCCGTTGTGATCTGATAACAGTTTTCACTCTAATAGTCCGCATGTTGGTGGAATTGCATAAAGAGGCCTATTGTGCGGCCTGCCTCCCATCGTTGATCACATTCACTGCTTGAACAAATTGTATAACCTGATGCTTTACCCACTGCGTCCTTTGAATAGTTGGAAAGAGGGCAACGTGCTGCCAACTATTTATCGCATGTTCATTTCATCACAACGTCAAGACGGCAAAACAAGACCTTCTAAGAGCACATAACGTGGCAGTCTCTTTAAACGACGAGAAATAAGGGCCAGCAAGTGAAGGCCTTCGAAAATAGTGGTCATCGTGTCACGTAAAAGACTCGAAAATATATGCTCACTTTATTCACGCAAAACTGATGGCTACAAAAGAAATAACACGAAAGAAATGCACAGGTATACAGAGGGTAACGTTACTATTTCGATTTCGAAACCTGCTACCAGCTCGTGTAGCACGTTTTTACTGCTCGGTGCAGTCTAGGATCACACAAGAGGGAGATGGAAACGACACAAGTGTGAGGAATTCAATTAGCGGTACATCCGAGTATCACACAGCAAAGTCGAGAGCGTTTGATCGTGTCCTTTGTAAGCTGCGTGCGCACTGCTTGTGGAACGATGAGTTGTCTGTAATATCTTTTACGTTTCATCTGTGGGAGCCACAAATAATTGCGGCCCAGGAAGCCCTATTTCACGAACAACTCATGTCTGAAATAAAAACCACTCGTTACAGCGTAACCAATATTAAACCTGATCATCTTGTCATACCTCGTGAACCTTTGTCTCATTTCAATCGCTTTTAAGAAACGAAAGTGATCACAGAAAGATGAACGCATTTGAGAAGATAACGTTCACATCGATAAGTGTGTCAAAAAGGGTACGAAATCGTACAAATGTCAGGTAATGGTGGAGCATTAAAAGAATTTGCAAAAGGAAATACTTTCGATGTCCTAGCAGAAAATTGCATTGAGAGTGCGGTGCCAGAAAGAGGTACTTGTCATTTGTCCTCACTTCCTCGAAGGCTGGTTTCAAGGACAGAAACACACTCGGGTTTTTTAATGAAGAAGTTTGGAAATGTCATGTTACAATTGAAAGTTGAAGTCATGCAGGAAAAAAGGGCAATTTGGTGGGAAACTTGTGCTTATTTTTACAGAGTTGTGCAAATGCTTGGGAGGGTACACACAGGGGTGTCGCTACAACTCATAGCATCGTTCACGCTGACGAAACGTTCCAGCAAATTTATCCTTCATCAGAGCAACGTGTTTGGAGCTTTAGACAAGTCTCGAAGCAGTAACGAATTTGGCCAGTGTGTTTGAAACTTGCGCAATCTTGACATCTTATAATACTTGTTTAGAAATTATCACCAGACAGATACCTGAACAAATGCGACGCTTTTTTTAAACCTCACTTTCATTTCAACAAGTAGGCCGGACATTGTGCAGGATCGTCAAAGCAGTAGAAGAAAATAAGAAGGAAATTCGTGCAGTTTTTGTGTGAGCAGTAGCGACCCCGAGATGATGTCAACAATTCACAGAAAAAAAGGTGCTCGAGAATGCTATCCCGCAACAGTCACATGAACACAAGCGTAACATTTTCCTTTTAAGAGGAAGAACCAACAACATAGAGATCACAGTGAATCACTAACTGACAACAACAACGTTGTTAGGTAGTAAAGCCAACAGTACACCCTTGGTTAACACCTTAGAGTTACATTCATATATTTTTATATACGTTGTCAAACAGATGGGAACACAATGTTTATATAACATGTACATAAACATTACGTGCTGTCACACCTTAACGACGATTATGAACAGATATATGATGTGTCAGGTCTTAATCATACGCTAGGCCATTTTACGGTCCTAGATCAAGTCTTACCATGCTACATCAAACCATATTCTTTGTCTCAAGCCGAGTACTAGTTCCTTGGTGTGGCTAATCCGAGTGAGCGACCACCCCGCAAACAAAACAGTCAGTAGTTTCTTAGGCAGAAGCAGGTTCGATATCAACGAAAAGTATATTATATATAAATCAAAAGGCGATTTTATCTCCAGCGTCTCTGACAGAGCCTCAAAGCAAAAGCCATCAAAAACTGATGTGAAGGTTGGATCACTTCACAGAGAAAAATAAATTAATTGGTGATTTACTCGGTGTCATTATTCTGTAATAGCGATACTCCAGCTATGTACAACTGTGTGTGTTTTTAAGATTATGCGCCATCCTGTAGTAACGTTGAGCAACATAAAAAAAATAACGGGAGTCTCAGCCCACTGCCTTTTAGACTAAACCCTTTCAATTTTGTTTAGGGGGAGGGGCGTTAACATTTCGCAGTTGAAAATGACCACAGAACTTGCTGTTACTACAGATTTTTTGGTAATTATTTCAGTTTCCTGATGTGGTGTCAGCCTAGTCCATTGGGCAACAAACATTTGTTGTCCTAACAACAGAAACAATTCTGTCACGTGAATATTGTTAGAATAGAGACTTGAACTAGGAAAAGGAATTTTCTTAATACAGCGAAAAATGTGATGTCACAAGAGAAATGTTCTTATGGGGCCTTACAATTTATTTTGTAGTGCCACAAAAACATGTTGGCACATAGACTTCCAAAAGAATCTTTCAACCAGCTATGTGGTCACATCAGCAAAAGATGTCCCAAAAGACGACAAGACATCCGATTTTTATGTCGTCACGTTCTGCTACCTTTTTCAACTGAGCTAGAAGGCTAAAAGTGACGAAACATAGCCAGTACAGGAATCACCAAAGAAAAAGTACTCATTACTGATCAGTTCGCCCTTAATTATCTTCGTATCTTTTGTTCGTCCGGTACACGCACTAGACTGCTACTTTTACTGCAACCAACGAAGTACAACAGCGAGCGACATCTGTAAAGACAACACAAAGCTGACACTTCTTGTTTTGACATCCACACTGGAGCAAACGAAAATGACGAAGTAGGTATTTTGCCGACGAGCCGCCGTGGAGACCGCTGTTAGCCTGGCAGGCCTGCTCACTTCTTGCCCAGCGACTGAAAGAGACCGGCCCTCTGGCATCGACAGTTGGTGCCCCAGAGATTGCAGCGGCAAGCCGACTGGTTGCAGCAGTCGTTGGGTCGGCCATCGCAGGTTGCCCCCCGCCGAATGCAGCTGCGCCTGAGCATCGAAGGAAATCAAAAAGTCTTTCAATGAGAAAGATTTAGCTGTAATAGCGGAGCGAATTCTGAGTTGTCGCTTTTTTTTATTAGCGTAGCTTTTCATGCTGGGAGAAGCTCTGCTCAATTGCAATAAAAATTATCTTTATCAGCTTGCACGGGCATACGTCCAGCATGTCCAAACATTGCACACGTGTAAATCTACCGTTTAAAAAATATGTAGTACTTCAGTAGATTCTGCGCCAAAAAAATGCATCTCATGCATCTCCATTACCATGCATTGTGTACTTTAGGAAGCTCCCACAAAAAAGGACAAGAAACGGCAATTATTTTTCTTCTAATTAAGAGTATCATTAAAATTTCTTGGAGGCAGTTGCTCTTCAGCCATTGTGTTTATAGCAATCAAGTTCATAAGAAAACCTTTTTTTTTTTACTGGAATTTCGTACCAGTTTGTAAAGAAGCTTTGAATTGTTACGAGCTGTTACGAAAGCTTTCTGTTTTTCAGACAAACACTAATGATCTCTATCGAAAGCTTCACTTTATAGCTTTCAAACTAAAGTTTTATCTGCCCCTTCTTGTACTTTGAACGTTCTAGCATAACTAAGCCATGAAAATATTATTGTTCAATCATATTCGTATTGTTTTCCAGCTTCTCCGGGAGATTGCATGCTATTTACCCTCTAAAACACGTTAAAATAAAGTATCATACTTCCTCGTCAACGACCATGTAACCAGTACACCTTCCAGAAAATTTTCAGAACCAATAACCCATTCCTATTAACGTCGAGGCACGGAACAAGGGAACTTTGGCAATTCGTTTTCAGCGACTAGTGCCTGAAATTCGTGGGCAACGATGTATTGCGCTCTCTTTAGCTTCTTTATATCAATTAGCGCACTTGAAGAGAGAGAGAGAGAGAGAGAAAGAGAGAGATAAAAATGCAAGGAAAGGCAATGAGGTTAACTAGACGCACATCCGGTTTGCTACCCTGCACTGGGGAAGGGATGAAGGGGAGAAAAGAGGTTAGAATCAAAGAAAGTTGATGGCGTCTTCAGTGAACCTCCGTAAACAATCCACTAAATGGTTTGAAGCAAAGAAAGTGGATCACCGATTGCAGACAATTTAGGAGGTTGTAAATAAAAACCAGATGTAACGATATGGGCGATTGGGGCCCGCATCGATGAGTGCTCTTAGAGGAGGACAACGATTACAGCGGCTAGCTCTTGTCACGCGGGGAGTGGCCGCCGGCAGTTGCGGCTGAACCTTAGACAAAGAAAGATGGTTCTGTGTCGGTCCCCGCCTCTTCCCTTGCGGAGTCCTCGGGCTAGCCGCCACCAAGAAACCCGGTATTGGGTAGATAATGCACTCATTAAAAAGAGACAATTTTCAATTTCAGCCATGCATAAAGAAACCACATATATTTGGATTACTATAAACAATATGCTCCGTACATCCTCAGGGACAAGATGCAAACGTATGACCTTACGCTGCACTGTTGTTGCTGAGTGTTATAACGACGAATTATTGTTTATATTCGGAAAAAAATGTAATCAGAATCAAGGTACTCACTTATCGGCAGACATCAAGTAGTTCTCAAGCCGCTGCTTATATTCATCTAATAGCTGATCATCTGTAAAAAAAAAAGGCACACAGAGTACACAGTCAGTACACGAGGATCGCATTGCTCATGTCGATGCGTCTTGCCCAACAACATATACGTTCACTCCTCTGAGCAGTGATTTATACAAATAACATTGCTCCTTCTGCAATCAGTATCATTGTTAAGTCGCTGCACATAACTCTAGTATTATTATATCTAGTAAGGCTGATTTCATTCAGCCTTGTAGATAGTCATGATAACGCAGTGGTTAAGATGCTTGGCTGCCGAACCGAATGTCGCTGGTTCAATCCCGCTTTGGCAGTTACATTTTCGATGTACGTAAAAATTCTAGAAGCTAGTGTGCCGAGATTCAGGCGTGCGTTCAGGAACCCCAGGTGATAGAAGTTTTCTCAGCTCTCTCCAATTTCATGCCGCCTAACCACTTGGTGGACAAGGCTCCAGTTAACGACGTATTCAATTCGAATTTAAACACCTCACTCTTTAACGAAGCCAGTGTCCTGGCATAGCACGCTAGACTGCGTAAGGACTCTCGCAAAATGCTGTGGAAACAAAATAAATTCTGTGATAGAGTTCCCACCTCGACGCTTTGGTTCTATTCTTCGTAAGCACTCGAAGGTTACTGCCCTAGAAAAAAGAGATGGGGATGAATTCACGATTGTATTCTTTACTGTTTACTGCTAACGGCCGGCAGTGTTCTCTCGTAGGTTACACAGCGGTATTCTTTAGTGGGATGAGCGCCGAATCATTCGGGTTGGCCGTACATTATGCAAAATACTTCTAAAAAACATTTTTTTAAATCAAGAGTTTTAGTTCAGGTTTGGAATTATACTAAACACACATGGCATGAGAGCCTAATCTACTTAGGGGAATTACCTGCTGGCAAAATGAACAAAGTTTCTCGAAGAAGAGTATTGAGAGAGTTTAGGGCTTGCTGGTGAGCAGCTAAGATTGTGGCGGGGCCTGGTGAAGCAGATCTCAACCATGCGCTTTCTTCCACGTTGCCTCCGAGAGCTGCTACCACAGCGCGGTGAAACACGGGGATAATTAGGTAAAAGTGAAGTGCAGTAGGCGATACAGAAAGGTCAGACAGAGGTGACGAGCGCGCGTCTCATCTGTCTATCTTTTCTGTCCCGCATATTGGGCTTCACCTTAGCAAATATGCATCTCAAATTGCGCTGAAACTCCACCTTCTAATGTTCGCAAGGTTAACGCTAATGAAGACGCTACGATGCACGCATGCCGAAGAGCTTCTGCCGCATAGCAAAGTGAAGCTTCAGAATATCGGAGGCAGCATATTCGTTAGCATAAGGCTCCGGAACCGGGCAAGTCGTAATGTGGATCTCACCAAAGCGCACGCTTCGTTTTAATAAAATGAACGTCTGTGGTCTATGATTAGGGATGACGTCACGTCACACGACAAGTTTCCTTTGAAACACTACTGTATTCGGCGCACCTGGTGTGGACACGCATAGGCGTCTCTTTAGGAGAGGAGGGTGTTTCGTCCAGCGCTCCCCTTCCAGTTATGTCAATATATCAGACTGACTTTGCCACCCCCTACCATCTTGCAGAACGCTCCTCCCTATTATGTCAATGTGTAAGGCTGACTGCGTATTCTCATAGGTGTTGTCGCCTTGCTTGCACTCCTACATCATGCGCACGCCCACAGTACACATAACCACTTCACTTACAAAAAGCGTGTCGATTGGTAAAACTCACTGAAAGCCTGAAAAATGCTCCATAGACTAGCTGGCGGCTTCTCATGAAACAGATACCTACAATGCGCGGAATCTACCATGTTTTAATTGTTTTTTATGAATGATTGCTTAACATAAGAAATTTGTCGTGGATACGGTACATGGGTGTTCTTACCGTAGTTGTTGTAGGGCACAGCAAGCACTGTCCCCACGAGGAAAATGACTACTAAGGTGAGGGCAACCAGCTGCGACTGCATTCTGCTTGTAGAAGGTGTGGAGTGCTGAGATTTGACTGAGTGTGGAGTGACCGCCCTGCAAAAACACACGAAAACGAAAAAAAAAACATCAGCACTACTAGCGACACAAAGCGTATCATTGTTTCCAGTTCCCACTAGAACGGAAAGCTTCATGTTAGGACGTTGAGAGTGGCAACTGAACTCCCGACATCTCGCTGAGGCGCATACTGTTTAAAAACCCGTAAACTTACAGAACGGACCTACACGGGATCGATGCCGTATAAAAATCTCAACTGCCGCATTCTGCCGCGGGCCTTGGTGGTTCCCACTTCCCAGAGAGATTTTGTTGGGGGAAATGATATGTAATAACGTTTGCTGTGATTGGTATTTGGTCAGTTGGGTTATGTTTTACGGTAGGAGAGCGTCCGTACGCCGGCGATTTTGCTGTTGCAGTAATAAAACTTCAAACGCACGACTTATTTGTTCGGCGTAGAGCTACGACACTGGTACTGCTTGGAACTAACTACGGCTTCAATAGTGCCTTCTGCCGCAACGGTAAACATCCTTGCATCAAAAGTTAACCTGTTCTTTGGTGTAAAACTACGATTTTTCACAGTACGAAGTTTCTAACAGATACAGTACTAATGTTGAAACACCTTTAATTATGTTTTCAGAAATTTTCATAATTCAATGTGCTGCCGTAGATATGGTAATTATTAAGACCAGCAGACAGATTTCTTTAAAGCGGTTGTACTGAGTTTCTTCATCTGCGTAGGCGTCCCCCACTGTCGAGGAAAAGGAAGACCTTAAATCGTATCAGAAAACAATGCTCTATTTTAGGAAATTAAAACTTCAAACACACAACATCAACACCTAGGGCATTTCTGCAACAATTTTCCGGGAACTGCGAAATCTGTTCGGGCTGAGGTTCTTTTGGATGGAGCAGATTTTCATCTCTGGTAGATCAAGCGCCTTTCACAAGAGCCGCGAAATGTGTCGTTGTCACACGAAAGACAAAGGCGCCATTCCGCGGCCCATCCGGCCCCCCAGATAACGAATGCAAATCACGCTCGTAATTAGGGCTAGCCGCCCGCCCCTAGCTGTTTTTGTATTCTTTCGTGTCGTCGGCCAGAATATCCTATGCATTTGTCTTTGAAAAACTCGGTGGTGAAAAAAATTCTTAGTCTTTAGTCTTTAGGTGTTAGTGGTGCCTTGATTGATTTCTTTTGGCTGCGTTTTCGGCCCCGTCTTACAGAATGAGCACTTTCCAACTAGCTCAGCTTTTCGTTATGCCAGTTTTCTTTTCTGTCAACCTGCTGCCATCTTCTTTTCCTTCGCAGTGAAAGTACTGATCATCCCTAAAACCCCCTGCGAAAGCGTTCATCTAAGTGCCCGCAGGATCTAACGCAATGCAAGCTGTTGGCACCAACATATGACGTCATGACGTCAACTACGATCGCTGCTGTTAGTGTACACCGTACACAGGTTGCTTTTGAATACTTCGTTTCCACGGCACGTGGTACCTTAATAAAGTGTTTGATGTCTACGAGTCAAATGACGTCATACTGACTTCACGGTGAAGTCACCATGACGTAGCACGATCTCAGCCGCCGCAATGACGTCATATGGGGACGTCAGCACTTGATTAGGGTTTCTTTCATTACTCGTACTCACGATTACGACTACCTTGCGCGTTTGATTAGATATAAGATTCTTTCGTCTTAGCACGGAAAGTATGATATCTTTTCCATCTTTTTTTTCTTTTTCAACACCGTAGATTTTTCCGGGACGTGGAATAAGGGGCGTTCTTCAAATCCGCGAAATGTGCAACTGTCCCGCGAAAGACAAAAGCGCCATTCAGCGGACCGCCTGCCAAGCTAAGCAATGCAAATTGCGTGCGTAATTAGGGGCTAGCCACCAGGCCCGGGAGGCTTCTGTACTGCTTTGCCTGGTCGCTCCGGCAATTCGTTTTAATTCTTCGCCGGCCCAGAATAAAAGGAACGCTTATTGGCTTATTGGATTCCCCGCTGAGTTCAATCTTGTGGATACAGCATTCGGAGTGTGCAGCACAACTGCGCGTTTACGTTTATTTATTTCGAGCAAAGGAAGTTTGTGACGTCTTCGAGTTAGCCACTTCCCTGTTCGTCATTCTGATTAGCTCGTATTCTCATTTCCTTCTTTCCTTTTTTTTTGTATTTGCGCCTTGATTTTGCTGAACATGGTTTCTTCGCTGAGACCTCCCGGCTTGGATGTCGAAGGCCATTAGGGCTAGCAAAATCAAGTTTGCAGGCGTCCGCACAATTTAGTGCAGTGTGGCGAAAAGACATTTCCGGACTAAGACAGATAAAATGAAGGAAAGGCATGAGTGACCCAGATCCGAATTCCTGTGTCGTAGCAACTGAGAGATAAAGTGATGTTGCTGTGTTCTGCGGGCTCAGCCGAAGTGTATTATTCGCATGGTGAACATACTGGCACTCGCTGTTTCTCACTTCATTAGGTTGAATAATAGTTTTTTTAATTGAACTGTGGCGCATAGCGACATGAACAATAAAATGATGCAGGATTGTTGGAGCTGAGGAAGCACCGATCTTCTCCTATGCGGTGCGAACAAAAAAAAAATGTTCAACTGTGTGGACCTTATCAAGTTGTCCAATAGCAAATTTCGTATTGCCTCACAGTTTCATTTATATTTCCTTTTTATCCGCTAATAAGAGAGAGAGAGAACTAGATGAAAAAGAAGAGGTCGGGAGGTGAACCCTGTAGTACTAGCCGGTTTGATACCCTGTACAGCGGAGAGGGATATTAGTCAAAAAGAGAAGAGGCAGAGAGAAAAAAGAACACGCATGCACACACATACAGGATGTTCAAATCAATCGCTTTGGTGGATAATTTGAACGCAGAAAGCGTAGTGACGAACGTGGCCTTCGTCTGTGACACTTAAGTCTTATGAATGGCGCCAGACTTTTTTTTCCGAAAGAATATGGTCCTCAAAATTTATCGAACGCGTTGCAAAGCGACTGCCTCTGCGAACAGTAGGTACCGTGAACAGACGCACAGAATATGCTCAATCGTATTATCATGGCTGCAGTGGTAACAAGCTGCAGTTTCGAGAATTCCTATACTGAAGTCGTACGCATGAAAGTGGTGACCACTGAAAATTTCAGGCCTCACTGGACTGTTCGCAAAGCTTTTCGATGACTTTTGACCATTTCTGCCTGGCCACGTATGAAGAAAGCCGCCTAGTTAATTCTAAAGTTAACACGGACACAAGCGGTAAGCCTGGAATTTTCATTAAATGTGTACACAAGACGACACATTTCAAGAACTATCAGATTACCGACAACAGTCATTACCATGTGACAACAGATGCTTCGCGAACTTCACTTTTCTATACCTTATTGCAACTGGGCGTAGAGGCCTATCTACACGATACTGTATTCTTCGTAGGAAAGCACAAGTACACATCATAACTGAACAAAGGGAAGCACGCAGGATAGTTGAGTTTGTTTTGGAGACAACATTAAGCTCAAGAAGCGTTTAAAACCCTTTTTATAGCAGCACATAGTGGCCAGTGGATGTACAGCGCTCTAAAAACTGTTGCTCTTCGAATCAGCATCGAAGATGTCTTGTAATTATAAAAGTGCGAGATGTTGTTAGAAAGGCTGAGTCTCTTCCAACCACCACCTGGCCCTCTTCTTGAAACTAGTGACTGCTGCCTCGTTCTGATGTCACAACGAGACACGTGACCAGACTGAGTACGCCAAGTGCCACTTTTTCTGTAGAAAGGTTCTCAATACGACGGCGAGTCACCCAAGCTAACAACTGAATGGATGAATGGTGTGCTTTCTTATTTTGGTCTTCGTTTTTGCAGATACACAAAGCACTAAATTATCATTTTAATTTTCCAGGGGCAGAATGAGGTTGGTAGTCGAATGATTACAGAAGTACCTATTCTTTTGCTAACGCGATTTGACGCTCTTTAAAGCTCAACTAATATGAATCCCTTTGCAGAAACCTTGTACGTTTCCTTTAACATTTGTTTATCAGATACGTGTGTTCATCTAGCTCTCCAAGGCGCGAGGCTTCACATACCGGGCCGGGACTTATGCTTCCCAGACAGGGTAATAAGCCCCCAACCTACATATTAGGGACATTTTGAGTACCTTCAACAACATCACAAAGCACTATCAGTTAGGGCGTAGGTCCTTTCTATTGTCACACGAAAAGTTGTCTAGGCCACAGGCACTCTCCCTTCGCATGCTTCAGAGAGAAACATACCCTAGTCTCACAAAATATAGCCATTACTACGACATATCATAACTTTGTCTGGACTGCCACAATCGCAGTGATTTGAACCACATTCTCTGGAGGTGCACCAATTTACAAAAAAAAAATGAATTTTCCGAAAGCTCCCATCATGTGATGTTCACAAGTCCGGTTCTCATACTCAAGGCTCTCCAGAAGGCCCACGATGCGGCGGTGAGGCTAGGTATCCCGTCCCAACGTGGGAGCAGCCCGCGATCCTACCCCTATAAAACGGGGGTGGAATCCTTAGCACAATAATAGAAGTTTTTCATCCATTCGTCCATTTGGATCGCGTGAACTAATGAACAGCGTGTACAAAAGTACATCCTTCTACTAAGCAAAGAAATGATGGACCGCTTTCCGACAGTCGTTTTCGTGTGTGTGTGTGTGTGTGTGTGTGTGTGTGTGTGTGTGTGTGTGTGTGTGTGTGTGTGTGTGTGTGTGTGTGTGTGTGTGTGTGTGTGTGTGTGTGTGTGTGTGTGTGTGTGTGTGTGTGTGTGTGTGCGTGTGTGTGTGTGTGTGTGTGTCATCGTATTGGAAGGGCGTCAAGACCCGCAGAACATGCCTGAAGACATTCATTTAAAACTAGCAGATAGAAAACACAGTGTCATTATTGCAAACACGTCATTGATTTTCATGTACAGATAAGTGTCCGCGTTTATCAAACTCCCTTGTACAGAAAAAAATTGGTCTCTTCGACTGTCATCGCTTATAGTGCACGTCGTTGCATTTGGCGTGATTTGGTGAGCAAATACCTGTCACTCCGCGGCA